CTCTCTCTCTCTATATATATATATATTCAGCCTCCTGATGAGTCGGTGAAACTCCGACGAAACAGTTTGTCAGCCCCTCGTTTGTTGTCCTCTTCTCTCTCTCTGCCTACGGTTTTACCGGGCAGTTCTGTTTGTGACGATATATATGTATATTTTCCATCCTCCCCGTTGTCTACTCCCTCTCTGTGTACTACTAGTAAACGCATATGAATGAGTGTCGTTGAGAGAACAGACGAAATATAATTACCGTTTTACTCTGCCTCCTTTTATAACGTGCAAGTGGCCGTAAAGGCACACGGGGATGTGGGCAGCTGGCACTCAACCATCATCATCGTGGCCAGCCTTGTACGTGATAAGCACAGTAAGAAGGTAACTGCAAAAACATAGAAAATGGGAGGCCTCCCAATGCTAGCTGATGAAAATATAATCAAGAAAACAATGTAACGAATTTATTGTGTCTCATATTGTTTTTACTGTTGGGTTGGCCCATCTCAAGTGTGTTGCATTGCTTGTGTAAAGGTGAGATTCCTTGCTTGTTTACAGGTAAGGTTCTGAATAGATATCGACTTCACAAGGAAAACTGTGCCATTGGTGGATTGGCTCATCTTGAGCATGTTTCATCGTCTGCAATACAGGAAAAGTTGCTATGACTTTGGATCTACTTATCTGGGTGGAATACGGGAAGTTGTGGTGATATTTTATAACACACACACACACTTCTTGTGGACTATGTATGTATATATATTATATATTATATATTATATACATAATACATATATAATTTGTGCGAGTGTGCCACTTCGGGCGGCAGATGGGTGTGTGGGCACTTGGCGCTTAACCACACAAATGTGGCCAACCTGCATCTTCGACTATATTGCCTATCTATACCGTTTTTCTTGTTCATTGATGGTCTGTAATGCTTTGTGGATGGAATGAGAGAGAATGGGAGAGAGAGAGTTTGGTGTTTTCTGAAACACACACACACACACAGCCAGCCTTCTACGTGAGAGGAATAGTAATAGGGGAGCCGCACGAACAAATGAAAGGGGTACCCCAAAGAAAACTGAAGTATAAACTACCAGTATAAAGACTTTAAAAAAAAGGGGGGGGGAGGAATAAATTTTAATAAATTGAAATAATGGATCTATTGTGCTCGGTGTTGCTTGCTATGGATGTAAAACTGTTTCATTGTTGGAATGACTCATCTCAAGTTTGCTTCATTGTCGGCAATAGAGGTAAAGCTGCATCCATTTTGGATCACTCATCTGGGTAGAACAAGGGCTATTGTGGAGAAAATCTAAAACACACAGCTGTACTTTTAATCTTCTATCAAGTTATATAAACTTATAAGTTATATGTGACAAATGATTGTAATGTTAGTACTAGCTCCAAAATGAAACAGCCTTCCAGCCTTCCCTTAAAATATTCTATAAAGTCATACGTGATATTTTATATGATTTTAATCAGTGTTTTTTTTTTATGAAATGGGCATTCCATAGTTGCATTCTCAGAAGTGCAAGGTCTACCACTTCTGTGCACGCATAGGGAGAGGGATGGAAATGTGTACACACCTGTGAAGATGGACCCCCTCCCTCTCCCACTTGTATACTTGAGCATGGAAATGCGTACACAGTGCTACGCACCTGTGTGTGTGCTGACTGTGTTGTTATGTTCGCTATGCACAACATGACAAAAGAAAAGCATGACTGTGAGCGACTGTTTCGTCGGACTTCCATCGGCAGGGAGATAGACTTCATGGGAGAGGGAGGGGGTCAACTGCTTGCTTACTACCCCTTTTTTAGCAATCTGTTGCGATTTGCCTTTTTTTGCAGTCCAGTTAATTCTCTGTATAATAAATTAATAATAATACAATAATTTATAATTCCGTTTGTTTCCATTTTCCTGAACATGCCTTTTGTTTGTCAGTATGCCTTATTTACTTTTCTCGTGTACTTCATTTTTTCACTCAGTGCGTGTTTGCTACGAGAGAGAGAGAGAGAGAGAGAGAGAGAGAGAGAGAGAGCTGTCTCTTATACACATCTAGATGTGTATAAGAGACAGGCATAGAAGCAGAGCACTGTGCTGTTTGCCCAGAGGATGACAGGACAGCGGCTGGCATGAGCATGCTGTCTATGATGGCATTTATGGGAAGAAGATGACTGCAACTCTGGCCCACTGACATGGGTTCAAGTATATTTTTGATGCACACATCCTGCACCGCCCGAGTCAATTTCGTACTATTCTCTGAATCTCCGATAATTTATGGACGCTGTCACGTCGCTGTGGTATAACGATGGCAGGGTGCTGTATTCCCCTCTGACTTGCCAGTGGAATAGGAACCGGACTGAAGCTCCCCAGAATGGCCAAGGAGCCAGAATCATAAGTTGTTGTTGTTGTTGTTGTTGTTGTTTTTTTTTTTTTTTTTTTTTTAAATGATGGCAGGGTGCAATCCCTGGGTAATATTACCTCTTAGTATGACCAAGTGGCGGAGTCCCTCTTCGTCCGGTGAGTCAATCATGAACAG